TATAGGTAAGGTGATCGATTATTAAGAATCAAAAACTAGAACACGTCAAATTCAAAAACAGATTTTTTGATTAGGTAATCCTAATGATACATGACATTGCTCATTGCACATAACACATAATATAAAGTCCATTCACTAAGGTTGTGAATTGTCAGTGTAAAAATTTTTCGAAATTTCTTGAGTGTACCAGTATTCGTATAATTTTTTTCATACTGTACACAAAATTTAGTTCTATTTACTTTAAGGTTAGATGTGCCACAATCAAATTCAATCATAAGGTGTCAACGCATTGCAACCAAAATAGATTTTCAAAATTTCTATTAGTTTTTTGTCAGTGCGACCAATATAACGACACATTCACAATTCACAATCTTAGTGAATGAACAATACATATAAATTAATTAGACACATAACTAAATGGCACACAGCGTAAGGAACATAAAACATAACGTAACATGATGATAATCAGTTACATATCATCAGTTTAATAAAATATATTATTATCAGTCTCATAAAAAATAACAAAAATATTGATTCAATAATAAAACAAAAATAATACTTATGAACATTGGTGAGACATTTAACTTTCATCTAGACTGTAAAAAATATTACATATATGTATAATCTTCACTTAAATTTATACTTTTGTGAAGAATGTAAGTATCTTTTCATTAGATTTTAAAATATCAAAAAATTCTAAACAAGTATATGGAACGTTCGTTTTTACCATTAATATTGATTTCAAGGTTTCCACTTTTAAATTAGTTTTATTTTCCGTCTATACAGTGTACTCTCTCTTGCGTGGACATCGTCGCTCGCACAGAGTTTGTCCGGCCAACAGGGGTGTCCGTCTAAAGAATTTGTCCGCTTAACAGGAGTGTCCGTTCTTGAAGAATGAACAGATTTTTTATTTAATACAGTTTTATTTAAGGTAGAATAATAATAATAATAAGAATTGACAATAATACATGAAATATTAAATTTTAAACCTGATTGAAATAATCTTGTAAGGTTGTCTGCTTCAAATTGGACTGATTTAATGAAACACTTTCAAAATGTAACATCAAGTCACAGCAAACTTGAAATCCCTTCATGTCGTTTTTATTCGCACAAAAATGTTTCAGCTTTTGCACACCTTCTATAGCTTCCCTATTCGTTTTCATGAATCCAGATGAGACATTTTCCATGTATTCTGTCGTTGCCTCGCCTTCTTCTTCCTCATTTTCTTCTATCTCGACATCACTTGGCTCGTTTATCTCCAATCTTTCATCGCTAATGCATAAATCGTTATCAAAATTAACAAAATCATCAAAGTCAACATTGCTGCTGATCCGTTTTATTCCTCGAGTCATTTCTGCAATCACTGCTAAGGGAATATCATCGTCGTCTTCAAAAGCATCATCTATGGATTTTTCAAAAGTGTCATTCCTGAATCTAAATCCTGCTTTTTGAAAGCAATTTGTTATTGTCGCAGGAGTCACCTTCTCCCATGCTTTTTGAATAAAGTATATTACATCCAACAAGTGATTTTTTTAATCAGATCTTCTGAAGAAGTGGCTTCATCCATTCTAGCCAGAACATGTTTCACAATCATGGATCTATACCAAGTTTTGAAATTTTTAATAATCCCTTGGTCTAGGGGTTGGCACACCGACGTAGTATTTGGTGGAAGAAAAATTATTTTGATATTTTTTAATTTTAAGTTTTTGGGGTGCGATGCCGCACTGTCCAGAAAAAGAAGAATCTTCCGTTTTTGAGAAGCCATTGTTCTATCAAAGTTCTGCAGATAGTCACTCATTATGTCGGATGTCATCCAAGATTTTTGGTTAGAATACCATGAAACGGGTAAAGTGTTTAAATTAATTTTTCCAAAAGCCCTCGGTCTAGCAGCTTTACCAATGACGACTAATTTTTCACGTTCCCCGGCCATATTCACACTGTGTAGAATAAACAATCTTTCTTTTGCTAGTTTTCCGCCGGAGCACTTTTCACCCTTGAATGAAAAAGTTTTAGTGGGCAATGCCCGAAAAACCCTGTTTCATCCGCGTTGAAAATATCACGTGCATCATAACGGCGTATCAATGAAGGAAGTTTTTCTTCAAACTCCGCCACATCTACTTGATTTACACTAGCTGCTTCCCCACTAACTGTTTTGAAGGTGATGTTGTGTCTCTTCTTGAAGCATTGTAACCATCCGGAGGATGCATTAAAATTTTGATTGTTCAAACTGGCTGCAATTTCCTTAGCTTTACTTCTTATTATTGTCCCAGACAGTGGAATATTTTTATTTCTTGCTTTGATGAACCACTCGTTGCAGCGTTGATCAATTTTTAGATCTTCAGGTTTGAAGAAAGTGCGCTTCTTATTGACATTAACGTTTGTTTCCCATTCTTTTAGAAGTTCGTTTCTTTTGTTTATGATGGTAGCCGCCTGACTTTTACCAATTTTAAATGTTTTTCCTAAGACTCGAGCACTAACTTTATGTTTAGTGTAAAACTCCACTATTTTGATTTTTTCTTTCAACGTTAAAATTCTCTTCTTTTGAAATATAATTACACTCTCAGCAAACGAAAGAGAATGAGTGACTAGTGAGAATGAAAAATGAAACGGGCAAACGTGCTTAATGTGGATATTTACAAATTTTCCACATGCATGCATATCACATTATTGACGCTGTTTCAGCGTTTCGTCGCCAAGTATTGTCCGTACAACAGAGATTGCGTTCGAAAATTTGTTTTGAAAGCACTGTCCGTGTCAGGTTACAAGGGGGTCCGCTTAAGAGAACAACATATACCTATTAAGAAATGCCTGTGCGTTGGCCGGTCGCAGAAAAATCGTCCGTACAAAAGGGGTGTCCGCTTATGAGGAGTGAATTGACGGAATTCGTGCATCAAGGCGGTTAATTCACACATATTTCAGATAATACATCTATACGATTATTTTTTGTTTTTCCACAAAACACTCGATCCACATACAAAATGGAGGAAAGACGAAACATGGACGAAACTACAGACGAAACATTATTATTATTTAAAGCGATCGGGCAGAGACCAAAGCTTGTTATGCCCGCGCTATTCAATATGGAATAACAAATCCGTTTACGCAAATTGCGAGTCATACCTTATTTTGAAAACATTCGTGGATCGACTCTCTACAATTTGATTAGGTAACGAATTCCAATGTTGAAAAACTCTATTGCTGATAAAGTACTGCCGCTGAAAGTAGCTCTCTTAGCAACATATGTGATGTGATGTGACCACGAAAGATCAGAACTAATGAAAACACCCAAATCTCGACAACAGACCGCTTTGACAAGTTGCGTGCCACCGATGCTTTACGAAAACTGTGGATTGTACTTTCCAATGTATAAAACTGTACATTTTTGGGTGTTGAGAAGCAGTCGCCAGTCCTGTGACCATTTGAAAACTGCGTTAAGATCTTGTCTTAAAAAGAAATTATTAGTGTTAACATTGTATAGTTTGATAGTGTCCGCGTACATTGCAAAAGGTGTGTCATTCATAAGTGGTTGTTCTACTGTAACGAATTTGAGTTGTTTCACCCAATTCGTAGCCAATAGTTTCGATGCTAAACAGCAGGTGGACGTGATATATACTGATTTTTCCAGGGCGTTTGACAAACTCAACCACAGAATTCTACTGATAAAATTACGCAACTTTGGCTTCTCCAATTGTTTACTGAAATTAATGGTATCTTACCTAACTGGTAGATATCAATGCGTGACGTACCTTCAACATCAATCCGAAACAATTTTGGTTACGTCCGGCGTCCCACAGGGCTCTGTTCTAGGTCCGCTACTTTTCAATGTCTACATCAACGATGTTATTAAAAACATTAGTTCTCAAGTTTTAATTTACGCAGACGACCTAAAAATCTTTCGTCATATTATTAATGTTGAAGACTGTCAAATTCTACAGGAAGATATTCATACTTTTGAAAACTGGAGTAAATCTAACATGTTACCTATAAATTTTGGCAAATGCTTCATTATGTCTCTAACAAATAAAAGTTGTAAGTTTAGTTTCAATTACACTATTAACTTGAATTTCTTATCAAGAGTGGATTCCTTCAGAGATCTTGGAATAATGTTTGATTCTAAACTCACGTTTTCTCTACATATTAGTAATATAATTGCTGAAGCGTTTAAATCCCATGGGTTTATCATCAGATCGTCCAGTTCTTTCAATAACATCACTACTTTTAATACGTTATATTGTGCTTTCGTAAGATCAAAACTTGAATACGCCAGTATTGTATGGGCTCCGTCAGCTCAATTTTACATTCAATCTATAGAAAAAATCCAGAGGCGTTTTCTCAAGTTTTTAGCATTCAAAATAGACGCTAATTATCCTCCTAGAGGCCTACCCCAATCTGACCTGTTGATCAAATTTGGATATAACGACTTAAAGACTAGACGTATCAGAGCTTCTCTATATTTTCTTAAAAAACTAATATATTATGGCATCGATTGTCCACAGCTTTTGGAACAGCTTCACTTTTGGGTTCCCAGGCCATCATCGCGCCTTCAACAACTTTTCTATCTGCCGACGCCAAGGATTGACATTCAGAAATACTCTCCTCTACATGAAATGTGCTCTAACTATAACTGCCATGCAAACATGTTAGATTTCTTTAAGTAAAAATTCCTGGCTGCTCTTTAATTATTAATTTCTAATTACGCGTTGACTTTAGATTTCACCTTGTATAGGGACAACAGTAATTTATAGCTGTTGTTTGAGAGAGATCAGTTTGATGATCCGCTAACCGTTGGTCTATAATTGGGTATTACCTGTTGACCAACTTACACACATAATAATAATAATAAAAGGGAAGGTCGAAATATTCTTTAAGTCGGCTGTGTAAGCTAGAAAAAGTAGAGGTCCTAACACTGAACCCTGGGGCACGCCACTCAATACTTCTACGGGCCTACTGAGAGAGTTACCTAGCTTTACAGAAAATGTGCTATCGCTTAAGGACTCAATCTACTTGATGAGACTGCCACGTACGCCAAGACGCTGAAGTTTATACAACAATCGACGTTTAGGGACCCTATCGAACGCCTTGGAAAAGTCCAAATAGATGACATCAATAGAACTCTCGCAATCAACCTCTTTTGTCCAGTCTGCCAGACAGCAGAGGAGATTCGAATGGATCGATTTCCCGGGGAGGAAGCCGTGCTGTTCGGGTGGAATTAAGTTCTGATCTAACAGAAAATTAATCAACTGATCGTATATAATCGACTCCATAATTTTGACAACAATGGACGTCAGACTAATAAACCTGTAGTTGCTGGCATCAAATTTGTTGCCTTTCTTAAAAATAGGTCGTACAGTGGATGTTTGCCAGTCAGGTGGCAATACTCCTGATCTAAATGACTGGGTGAATAGAAGACTGATGTGATGGGGCCATTCAGAGTGTCTGCACAACTCTTCAAAACTTAGGAGGTAATATAGTCTGGTCCAGGCGACTTGGAAGACTTCAATTTTATTAACTTTTCATGAATTCAGACAAATCAACATCGCTAATAAATGTGGTGATTGGTAAACTAGCCAAGTGAGGCAGTTGATTTGATGGCGGTTCGTTTGTGAATACTGCTGAGAAAGTGTCAGCAAAAATGTTGGCCACCTCAACACTATTATCGACGACAGCGCCAGACGAGTCTCTAACTTGTAAGGTTCCAACTGGACCCGAGATCTTGGTGCGAACGTTGGCATCAGCTATTTTGGATTCATATTTAATCCTGGCGTCTTTAATAGTGAGCGAAAGGTTAGAAAACTTTCTGTGAGCCTTGTAGTCAACCTCAGAAACCGATCTCTTAAAAGCTCGCCTGTGTTCTTTTTTTTTTCTAATTAACTTTAAAATTTCATTATTAATCCAAGGATTTTTAGAAGATATCTTGCTACTAAAAGTGGCTGTATTACGTTCCACGGTGTTGAACAACTTTTTTTTTAAAAGATTCCAATTGTCGGCAACTGATGCATGGGACAACATGGAAACCATAGCTATCTTGTTTAAATTTTGATTTATTGCTTTATAATCTGTTGCTGTCCTCTTAACTGAGACAGTTCTCTTTCGAGGCATAAAGCAAATTTGAAGGTGCACTGTTAGGGTTAGATGATCTTACTTACCAATGAGGTCGAGGTATTCTAAGTTGACAAGAGAACTACTGTCGGAGGAGATTATAAAGTCTAGAGTGGAGGGCTCCTGGTTAGATCTATATCTGGTTGGTTGCGAAACCATTTCGTTTAAGTGACTGTTCACTAGCAATTCAACCAAAAGTTGCGACGAACCACTATAAATTCTGTTAGTATCTAGAGGCCATGATATGTCTGGCAAATTGAAGTCACCAAAGATGAATGTGTTGTTGTGTTTACCTGCAGTGCTGAAAATAAAGTCTACCAATATTCTACCATTGTCAATTGAAGACAACGGAGGTCGATAAACACAACCCACGAGAAATGAAACAGTCTTATTAGTAGAGCTGTGCGGTTGAAATTTATTTACCCCCACTATCGGCCCACAGTGCCGATCGCTACACAGCCTTGCCTTGCTTGCTTCTCGCTTTTCAGTTGTGGATTATTTTTGATAATTCACACAAATAGTTTTATTGTCAGCGAGACGGACACCTGAACATTATTAAAATTATGATTACTCTTATTTCGTGAATATGGATTTTAAAATCATCAACTGACATGCCGTTAACATTATTTTTCGCGTAATTTTCTTCGCGATACATAACGTCGGATGCAAGCCTCTGGCCTGCCGGAGTGGGGGTCAATTCGCAGCGTTTAAATTTCAACCGCACAGCTCTACTTATTAGAAATTGTAAGAAATAGCCTCTCAACACTACAATTGTCAAATGGTACAGGAGTAATACGTACCAAAGTTAGATAGGATTAGGTCTGAGAGGTATATGCAAACACCACCCCGTTTGGTGCCAAGACGATCTTTCCGAAATATGGTGTAACCCTTTAAGGAAACCAAGCCATCCACGATTACAGGATTCAGTCAGGTCTCAGTTAACAGAACAATGGACGGTTTGTCGTGCTCAATCAATGAACAAAAATCGTTATATTTAGGCGAGAGTGAAGCAATATTAGAGTAGGCTATTGAATATACAAAATAATTAGAATAAAGTGCGAATGAGAATATTAAAAAAGAAATAGCTATATATAGCTAATTGCCTTATGAAATCGATGGTCCGGAAACTTGGGGTTCTTCGTTGGATTTTTGTAACGCTTTCTTTAGTCTTTTATGTATCTTTTTACACTTGTTTTTTATACTTTTATGTTCAACAACGATCTTCCCCGGTTTCTCCCCCTTGCCGTCGCTTCCGCCTAGCCGCGCGCCGCGCATTTTAAACGTTACAGCTTAATACATGTTTATATTCATTGCCTTCAATGCTGGCTTTCAGAAAAGACATTTTCGAAGTCAAGTTCAGACCTAAAGTGGAGATTAAGTTTTCGGTAGTGGTATGAGGTATCGATGGACACACATTGGAAACAATAATACGTCGTGCGTTATGCTTCGACCTGTTATTTTTGAAGATTTTTGACGTGAAGATCTATTTTGATTATATTTTGATGCTGATTGTCCCTTAGTACAACCAATTTTTTTTATCAAACGAGACGTTTATTAATTGAAGAATTCTTTCTCTAATGCTGGAATCTTATAGTCCTCGGATAAACTGAGCTTGTAATGACATGTCGATCACAGATTTCGAACAAGTAAAAAACCTCTTTTTCTTTACATTCCGTTTTGAATTCGCAATTTTTATTTAATTCTTTCAATCCTGCAACGAATGTAGAAATTGATTCACCTGGTTGTTCAACTCTTGAAAAGAATTTATGTTGTTCAGGTAAAACATTTCTCTTCGGTGCAAAATGATTTCTTAGAAGATCCATTAATTCTTGGTAAGTTTTTGTAGCTGGTAGTTCTGGAGAGGTCAAATTTACAAGTAATTTGTAATGTCTGCTGTCCAAACAATTTGTTAATACCATAACTTTGGCATCACTAGTTTCCTTGTTGTTTTTATGCAAACCTCTTAATTTGAAAAAAATTTCGAGTCTTTGACTGTAACTCTCAAAATTTTCAACACTTTCATCGAATCCGTCGAAAGACATAGCCTGGGTCTGCAAAATTCTTGTACACTTGCAGTCAATGTTCCTTGGTTTTGTAATGTAGAACCAATCCACTAAGGGCCGTTACTAATGCTGATAAATCTTCCGCCATGTTTTTTAATCATTTGTCGCCAAAAACTGTTGTGTATTTAACGGTTTAGAATAATTTTTCATTATGACATTTCAATAAAATAAAGGATATCATAAAAAATATCTAAACTGTTAAAGACACAACAGTACGTCCCGTACCACCCGACAGATGGCGTATCAAGTATCGTTCTGGGATTAATTAAGTCAGACAATTTTATGTGAACTAGTGAACTCGTGTTTCGCGTGCTCTCGTTTGCTACTAATTTAAAGTGCTTATTTTTGGATATTTTATGGTCGAATAGGATAGTAGCTATTACAATCAGTGTCTCTAAGGGCCAAACAGTAAAATCTAATTGTTTGCAATATTCATTACGTGTTGTATTAGCGAAATTAACTTGATATTTTCTACTGTTTACATTCGTAGTTCGCCTGCGGGCTGCGCGGCTTAGCCGGTGGCTCTGTCTACTGGCGCGTGATTTGACTTCGTGTTCAAAATGATTGTTCCCTGCGGCTTTTGTCTTGCTGTCATTGATGGTAAGTCTCTTTCTGTTTCTTGTAGTGGGATATGTAATAAACGTTTCCATCCAGCGTGTGTTGATATTACCCCTACAGTTACAAAATATATAAATACTGTCCCAGGGCTGACATGGAAATGTAAAGACTGTGAAAGAAATTGTTTCTCAATTGATCACGCTGGATTGAATAAATTTTTGGAGGACAAACATCAGGAATTAGTAGACAACCTAAATACTGTTTTTGAAACCCTAAAATCTGACTTTAAAAAAACCGCTGACGAAAAACTGAGAGAACTACGCCAGCCTAAACCCGACAGTGCAACCTGCCAGCCGTATTCACAAATCCTGAAAAACAAAAGTCAACCTGCTATTATTATTATACCGAAAAATCTTGTTCAAACACCAACTCTGACAAAGTCTGATATAAAAGCGAATATTAAACCCCTTGAATCCCAGTTTTCTCTGACAAAAGTCAAAGATACATCGAGTGGTGGCGTTTTAATTGGTCTGTCTTCTAAAGATGAAAATGAACGCTTCAAGAAATGTGTTACTGCTAAACTAGGTGAGAATTATGGGATTCATGAAATTAATGGTGTTCGACCTCGGATTAAAATTGTTGGACTTTCACAAGGGTACCCTAATTCTGAGATGTCTGAATATTTTGAACATTCCGTTAAAAGTAATAGCATATCTTTTAATTATACTCCTGAATGTAAGGTGTTGAAACAATGGCCAACCAAGACAAACGTAAAGATTTATCAAGGGGTTTTACAGGTAGATCAAGTTTCGTATGATATTGTGATGAAAACTGGTGGTATATTTATCGGCTATGACTATTGCTAGGCCTATGATGCTATTGATATTATGCGTTGCTATAATTGTAACGGCTTCAACCATTCCTCTAAAACTTGCCGTCAAAACAAATCGTGTCCGAAATGCGGCGGAGTTACCGAAAAATTAAATCACTCTGTGTCAGAATGCACAGCTGAAATTCTTAAGTGTATTAATTGCATAAATCTGCTAAAAACTGACAGTACTCAAGAAATAAACAGTAATCATGCCGCATGGGATCATAGGTGCCCGATCTATTTATCTGCTGTTGACCAATTTAAAAAGGAAAATTTCCCTCTCAAATAGCAATCAATAATTAACTCTTCTAGATCGGTGTTAGAAAATTTAAATATTTCGTCTAAAAGCAATTTTGTTAATTCATTATCTGACAGTGCAGAAGCGAAGTTAATCCAGCCATCTTTTGCGTACACGAATATAGCTTCGCTTATGGCTAAAATAAACTCTCTTCACTTATACCTACTCGATAATAAAACTTCGTGCATTGCCATTGCTGAGACTTGGTTGACCGACTCCATCACTAACAGCTTAATAGACTTACCAAATTATCACATCTATCGTTCTGACCGTAAGGGAAGGGGACATGGAGTCTGCATTTTATTAAATAAAAACGACTTTCAAAATTTTAACATTAATGAAATCCCTCACAATATTATTTCATCAACTATTGAAGCTCTTTTTCTCAATGTATCTTCCAGATCAGTTTCATTCTGTATTGGCTGTATATATCGCCCATCTAATTCTTCTTTGGAGGGTGACAAAATTCTAATAAACGAATTACTAGCTTTCTCCGATCGTTATAGTAATCTACTTATCTGCGGTGATTTTAATTTACCTGACATCAAATGGCCCGTTTCGCACATACCCGAAGGTAATAATGCAGTTCACTTGAAATGTATTTAAACTTCAATTATAGTCAGTTGGTGAATGAACCTACGCGCTTTCCATCAGGTAATACTCCTTCTACTCTGGATTTAGTCTTAACTAATGATACTTCTCTGATATCAAATTTTAATATTTCGTCTCCTATAGGTATTTCTGACCACGCTGTAATAGAAACTTACATTCAAGTTACAAGTATTTCTTCTCCAAAAGTTACTAGAGAAATGTACAGGATAATAGATTATAAACAAGTGGCATTTGCCTTTGACCACCTGAAGTGGGACGATTTTTATACTATTTTTGATGTAGAGACATTATGGAATATATTTAAGAACACCATTTAAAATGTCATTCATTCGAATAGCAAGTTCAGGTACAAAAGTATGTATTCATCCAAACCCTGGATTGTAGGGGAGTTACTCAAGCGCGTTAAGTACAAACGGAAGTTATGGCGTAAATATAAATTGACCAAACATACTGAAGCACACCGTGAGTTCTCTAATGCTCTGAGTAAAGATCTAAGTAATGCCAGGCAATCTTATGAAAACTCGATAATAAAAAGAGGAACTAAAGCGGTATATAAATATACAAAACGTAAACTTTGCTCTAAAGCTTCTTTGCCAATTTTGAAAAATAATAGCGGTCAATATTGTAAAACAAACTCTGAAGCTGCTGAACTCTTAGCACAATTTTTTGAAAGCACATATAGCAGTGAAAGTCTGCGCAACTTCCCTAAGTCACCATTAGCCAATTGTGTAACCACTTGTATGGAAAGTATTGAAATAAATGAAGTAGATATTTATCGTGAACTCCTAAGGGCCGGTCTTTTCATGTCCCAGATAAGTGTCCGATAACTATCAAAATAAAAAAATGTTTTATTTTTCTAGCAACTCTAGTGTTTTTTTTTTAATCGATAATTCACATTCTAGTAACTCCATTTTTTTTAAATACAGTTTCTGTTCCCTCTCGATTTCTAAATCCAAAGCGGCAAATTTCTGTTTCTGAATTGCCATTTTTAATTCATGTTCTTCAACTCGACGAAGCTCCTCGTTCTCCAGGTACTTCTTCTGCAATTCTACAAGGTTATGACGTGAGTTCACCACATTCTCCACTTTCACGTTTAATTGGTCCTTGGTACAGTGCCCCTTTGCCTTTTTTTGATTTAGGAGAGGATGTTTTTTTGTTTTTAGTTGTGCAGGAGACCATCCCGTCCATTTAATATTTGAGTTCACTCCTGTACTTGAACCCTTGCAACTGTTAAATGATATTTTACCGAGTATAGGCTCCTTACCTCTCCTCCGTCCTTTGAGCAAACCTGCAAAAGTGCCGGGACGATGGATTCCTCTGTTTCAGATGGATCAACATGTGCCTCCTGCAAATGCAAGTTAACGATTAGCAAAAAGAGTCAAATGACTAATTAAAGCAGAACTTATACATCAATTATTATTTGTGGCACTTGAGCATCTGATGTTAGATCCTCATTGACTGCAATTTCAATGTTCGGGTTATCTGATGTTTCACCATTCATTGCTAAAACATTGAAACAATTGTTTATATTTCAAAATTAATATCTATTTATATAATATCCATATTTTTACTGTGATTTTATGAAGAAAAAATTGATGTAGAGCAATAAACTTGCATATTTTGAAGGAATGGTTGATACTTTTGCTTAAATTAGCGATAGTGAGTAAAAATGTGAATGCAGCCCATGTATTCTCACCCATAGGAATCAATCCCTCATCTGAATCAAATTCTGATGGAAGTCCATTGACAGGCACTGTTAGGGACTCTAACAGTTCGGTCTCATAATCTTCAAAGCTCATATACTGGGAAGATCCGCCACCAGTTTTGTACGTTTCTTTTTTATTGAACGCAACTTTGCGTTTTATATTTCTCTTCGTCGCTTCGTACTTTTGACGAATCCTTCTGGTGTTCGGATTACATTTCCTATTTTTTATTATAATATATAATAAAAATATAATATATATAATATGTAAAATAAATAACTTTCCTGTTATTGCATTGTATTCGGCAGCAATTTCTTTCCACGTCTCCTCTTTCTGCTTCCACGTGACGGAATCGGTTCCTTTATTTTCAATAATATGCGCCCTAGTAGCAATAATTTTTAAAAGCCGCCTTGTTTCGGCCTTCGAGTAATTTGGCTCCCTCTTCCGTTTTTCTTCATTTTCAATTTTTCGTTTGCCCATTTTTTTTATATAATAAAATCACTCACGATTCAAATAAAAACAACACCTACAACACATAACCTATAACGGTCTTTGGCAGAAATGGACACGTCATCGACAAGTGAGCAATCGCGTAAGTTCGCTGCGCCATCGGCTGTCGCCGTCAGATATCTGTAAGAATCGGCAACTATTCGGAACTTAAAGTTCCGAATAGTGTATCTGCCGAATAAGAGCTATTTATCTAGGAGATAATTTTGTCAGGTGTTGAAAAGACACCATTTGACGTTATCCAGCAGATAAAAATTATCAGGAACTTTATCAGGAGGTGAAAAGACCGCCCTAATAAGTCTTTCTGAAAACAGTGCTCCTGGTCCAGATGACATTTCTTCTTTTTTGAAAAGATATGCACTTCATTTATCCAAACCACTGACGCATATAATTTCACAATCTTTACTTTCCTCTGTTCTTCCATCTGACTGGCTAATTTCAACCGTGACAGCTATTTTTAAGAAAGGGGACAAAGCTGACTGTAGTAACTACCGACCTATTAGTTTAACATCCGTCTGTTGCAAAGTCATGGAAAAAATTATCTGCAAATGACTTGTTCACTTCGCGCTTAATGAAGGAATAATTCCAAGACAACAACATGGCTTTCTGCCTGGGCGTTCCACTGTTACGTGTCTCCTGTATTGTTTAGACAAGTGGAGTAGGGCTGTTGATGATGGTAAATCTGTTGACGTTATTTACATAGATTTTCAGAAAGCCTTTGACAAGGTCTCTCATCAAAGACTTATACATAAATTAGACCAACTGGGAATTAGAGGTCATATTTTAAAATGGATATCTGCCTTTCTATCAGATCGACATTTTGTTGTCAAAATCGGAAAATCCTTTTCTAATATCTATCCCGTCATATCTGGTGTACCACAGGGATCTGTGGTAAAAATCCGGATTACAAATCTGGCAATGTGAATGCCAAATTTCAGTAGTAATCTTCTACTCAGCATGAAAAAATAGATTTACGTTTAATAAAAATTGATTCTAAAATATTTAAATTAGAGACCACAGATAATTACAATTATAAACCAATACCTAACACAATAATAGTCTGTCTGAGGAAATAGAATCTCTTATTTTCAGACAGTGTGGAAAATTATAAGAAAATATTGAATGATAAGCCTTTTATTAAAGAGGAACAACATCTTCAATAGTACAGAACCTAAAAAACATGTTTTAATCTTGGAACAATGTACGTGTTGTATAAAATATAAATCACGGTTTGCAAGTGCTTTTGTCAGTTATGCTTAGTTCAGTTACTTAGAGGCCAAGGATTACATAACATCTGCCATTTTATTTTCGATTTTCTTTCGTGTTACATATGAATTTTAAATTATGAATTATACAGGATGGTCCCGATTTAACATTCCAAAATGTTTTGTATAATTTGTTATCCTATACTACAACAAACAAAAAAGTCTCATATAATTTTTTTATTTAATACATCTCTTCGCGTGTCCATCAAGAGAAAGTTTCTCCAAAACATTTTCGTAAGCACTGCGGCTATAATAAGAAATTATGCATTGTAGATCAAGGTTTTTTGTAGAAACAATTATTAGAAGAGTAAGAAAACCGTAGTTACCATGCCGAATCGATTGTTGATATCAATCTCTTTTATGGATTTTCGATATAATGGCTCATTATTTAAGTTTATAATGTTCAGTGATACCCAAACAGTGTACAACTATCATGTTACTCGTAAACTAATAATCTTAGACAAAAATGGCGCATGACTTCTTTGTTCAGCTGATCAAGCTAAATTACCACAAAATTTTTTTTAAGGTTATATCGGGACCATCTTGGTCATATGCTTCATGTGCACAACCGTTTTGGACACCAATCTCTTTTAACGAGATATAATAAAAACATTATTTTCCGTAGTATTTTTTGTTTCAATAAATTAAAGTATAACGAACACTAAAGAAAATAAAATTGTAGCAGAATAGTATACACCATTAAAAGCAAGACAACAATCTGACCTCCAGCAATTTAAAAATAGTTGCAAAAATCTTTTAGTCAAGATAAAGAACTAAATATACCAATAAATATCAATGAAGTAACTTAAATGAGAAATCGTTGTTTTGCTATTGAATATCTTGATTCGACCGTAAATAAAAAACTTACAAAGACAGAATTTTGCAAATCTAAAAGTATTTCCAGAAATTCCCTTAATATGGGGCTAAATTCAGTTGGCATTAAGATTGCACGTAAAACAAGAACAAACGGGAGCAATCCGGGGCAAAAGAGAACAAATCGGAACAATTGGGAACAAAAGAGAGAAAAAGTAAAATAAAAAATAAAAAAATATTCCATAATGTAGAACATAAAGCAGGTAGTCGTAAAAATATAAGTTTAGATGAAGAAGCAGATGAATTAATTAGTAAATCTTTAGAAACTTTTCAGTCATAAATGGACAAACCAGTTTCATACATTCCCAACGATGAGAAAGAAAAATGGAAAAAAGATTTAAAACCTATTATTACTGAAATAGACAGATTAGAAGATGGAGCAAAAATAGTTGGTTTCAAACAAGAAGTTGTAGATAAATATATTGCAAGAAAAGTAGTTAATTCATTCCTCGAACAATTAATTATGACAGCCTGTGAACTAGAATCCGCTAATAATAAAATATATGAATTGGAATATAAATTAGACAACTACAATTATGATCCTAAGAAATTAGCAGAATTAAAAAACAAAACAGTAGTAATACCATCAAACACCGATGATGTAAAGAAGATAGAAAATATTTGAAAGACATACTAAAAATATGAGAGCAATAAATGAAAAGGCTCAAAAATTGTAAATTAAATGGAAAGTACTGTGTCCAAGAATTTAAATATATTCATTGAAGAATATCCAAAATTCAGAAAAAAGTTTTCAAGTCTTATTCAACAAGTTAATAAATTAAAAATTATTATTTTTAAGACCCACCACTGACCCGGAAATGACCGGCATTCAGGCAAGACTTCAATCATTACGGGTACTAAGACCAAGTAATGATATGCATTGATTAGATTAACAGAACAACTTTCGAGATTCTAGAATTACAGCATACAAATTAGTCTGCTATTATTCTCTAATCTCACCCCATCCCCAAAAGTCCAGCGTAACTACCGACCATTTATCCGCGCATCACATGAAAAGTGACCTACACTACTCTGACCTACTGGTGCTAATCTAATCTGACTGACATGATCAGACTGTTCAAGAAACTTACGAACAATATGACATGTTCCTAACAAAACAGCTTTTTGAATTTTGACAATTATTGAATCATTCAAATGCAAAGACTTTAAATTCTCAACTAAGCTATTTGGAACTACACCTACATTAGAGATAACTAGGGGTAGAATTGAATTTTTTTTAAGATTCAACATGGATTTCATTTCTATCGATAATTGTAGATATTTTGAAATCTTGGTGTCGTATGTTTGAATAATGTTGTTTGTGTTAGGAATAGCAATGTCAATGAGAATGGCTTCGTTCGTGTGTTTTTTGATAAGTATGATGTCTGGTCTGTTAGCTGTAATGTTTAAGTCTGTAAGTATTGTGCGATCCCAGTATAATTTGTATTTGTTATTTTCAAGGAATGGAGACGGAATGTAAGTGTAGTAGGGTGTCGTATCTTCGATTAAGTTCATAAGTGTTGCTAATTCTTTGTGAATGATTTTGGCTGCGTTGTCGTGTCTAGCTTTGTAATCAGTTTGTGCTAGGATGCTGCAAGAAGAGATTATGTGCTGGATCGTTTCAGGTTTTGCTTTGCATATTATTTTAGGACCCACCACTGACCCGGAAATGACCGGCATTCAGGCAAGACTTCTATCATTACGGGTACTAAGACCAAGTAATGATATGCATTGATTAGATTAACAGAACAACTTTCTATTTTTTATACTTGTAGTTTAAGACCCACCACTGACCCGGAAATGACCGGCATTCAGGCAAGACTTCTATCATTACGGGTACTAAGACCAAGTAATGATATTGTTATTCTTACGATTATTATAGTAATTGTTATTATTGTTTTCTTAATTTATTACTTCAATGCTAATAAAAAATACCGATTTATTCAACA